GGAATCTGACAGATGGTTTTGACCTTCTTGCAACTGGATATTTAGATACATCTCCAGGTATGGGTAGTTTTATGTGATATCACTGAATAAACTTTCTACATCCTTGAAATTCTCAAGTTTCTCTTGAACTTCAATAACCCTAATATTTGGTCTTTTAGTTCTGCCCCAAACTCCCACAAGCTTTATTCTTCTTTATTTTTTATTTTCTTCCAACTGTGTATTTCCAAATAGCCTATGTTCAAGAGCACTGATTTTTTCCTGCTGCTTGATATATTTTGCTATTGATGCCTTCTACATTTGTAATTTTACTTGGTGTGTTTTTTAGCTCAAGTATTTTTGTTTGTTTCTATCTCTCTTTTTTTTAGACTTCTTGTTTTTAGTATCTCTCCCTTTTAAATTTATCTCTTAGAATATGGAATCACTGTTTCATGTTTTCTAAAAGCAGCCTCAAGTCTTTTTCCTGAAAGCAGCTGCTTTAAAGTGAACTCAAATTTGTTACTCTACAGCCAGATTCTGGTGCCTTGTTTTAGCCTGTAGCTGAGGTCATATCTCTCTCAAAGTTCTTGATGCTTTTTTGTGTGCAACATCATCTATGCATTGAAGATTTAGATATTTATTCCAGTCTTCTTTATAGCCATTTGTGAATGTCTTTCCAGCAATTCTAACCATTGATTATTTTCCAGGACCCTCTGCTCACTTCTACTATTTTATAATTAGATGGCACCCTAACCCAAGACTCCATTGTTGGCATGCTCAAGATTGTCCCAAATCTGCAGATGTGTGTTGTTCAGCACAAATTTTCAGAATATCTTAAAAGGACACCCCACCCCTGCAAACCTCTCCATGGGGTTGATGTAGGCCCAGATGTCTATGTAGTCACCAGTCTCTGGACATTTTGCAATTCTGCTTGTTCCTGGGAAAAATTGCCAAAATGATCAGCCCCAAGCTTTTATGTCCCAAATTAGTATCTATCCTTCTGTTTTTTCCCCTTAAGGACACAGTTACACTGTGTTGAAGTGCTGAGGATTTAGGGAGGAAAGGGGTGATCACTTTAGCAGCCCATGTCTCCATACTGGATTACACCCTGAGCTCACAGCCTGCCAGGCTGGTGAGGCAGAGGGGCGAGAGCAAGGCCCATAGATCTCAGTTCTGCCTAAAGCTGCTAAAGGAAGACCCATGGATCAAGATCACTACAGTAAATCAAAGACAGTGCTAACTGAAATAGAACTCCAATAGTCTAGGCTTGCAGATCTCCACATCAGAGGCTCTGTCTATATGTAATGGCTTGAGGACAAGGACTGTTAGGACCTTGACAGTGTTAGAGTTCACTATCTCATATTGTCCAAGCCAAAGTCCTGTTTTATTTCTGAAAATGGGGACTTGTTCCACACCATGGTTTAAGTTGAGCTGGCACTGTTGCAGCCAGTCCCTTTGCCACCAAGGCTAATGCTGTGTCATGTATAAGTCTCAGAGCACAGAGACCTGGATAGTCTTGAGGAGGGGAGTGCTCCAGTTCATCTCAAAGAGTAGCATCATATACGCTACAACATGAAGATTCTGCCAGGGCACTGCCTGATGTTTTGGCAGGTCTAGAGAATCCAACTACCAGCTCTGGCTTGGCTAGAGGGGCCTCTGGCTTCTGCCCCCAATGATGCATTTCACTGTGGTGGGTCCAGCACTGAGCTCCAAGGCTAGGTCTTATGCAAGGTTTCCTGCCTTATTGCCCAGTGGGTGGCATTTTCTTTCCATTCTTTGCTGCTTGAGGTTGAGAAGATGGTGGAGTCAGTATCTTGGCCACTTGGATAAAACACTTCCAAGGCCCAGTCTGTGTCTGGGTCAGGGGCCATAAGGTTGTGCTTAGCACTGTATTTCACAGTGGTGTGCCTGGTATTGTACTAGACTTTAAGTCTTAGGCCTGGCTTAATCCATTTTATTTTCCCCCATCCCTTGATGTTACCACGAGGGGGAGATGTCTCTTTCCATACGGTATTTCTTAGAGTTGGGGGGAAATAGCGAGGTGAACAACTTATAATTCCCTGATTTCTTAATCCATCTTTTCTTGTATTATGCCCAAACCAGGTGCTATGATCTGTCATCTGGCATGCTTAGTTCTTGTGAAGGTAATATAGTTCATGTACATCTGTTCAAACTGATGTATCTAAGAAAAGATTGTTGGAGTGTCTTGCATACTTGCCTTCTTGCTCTGCCTCCTCAAGAAAAAATTCTTGGAATACACTAAATAACAACAGTTACTATGGAATCCTGCAGTTATATCAATTCAGTCATACTCTCAAGCAAAACACTGTGGTAATAGATGCTCTGGGTAGCATTTGTTATTTCCATATATACTGAATGGGTAGATTTGCTTGGCAAAAACTATTTGATTGATCCACGATTCAAAGGCAAGTGAGAACTGCCCTAAATTCATGGCAATCCCAGGAGCATCCCCTTAAATGAAGCATGAGTTCTCATTTAGGACACAAGCTCTAAATCTGAGGAAATCCAGTCAAAGATAGTTACCATTAATTATCAGGGCTTATTGTATAAGCTGATAGAACAAAACTAGAAGAAAATAAACATGAAAACTAGTTTTCTTTGTTGCTGCCTCATTACCTATTCACAAGGTCTAAGTTTACCATCCTGTCTGCCTGGTCTCTCAATGAATACAACATATTAGGAAAACAAGCATGAATTTCCTCCATTGTTAACAGCTGGACCCTTGGCATACTAATACTAAACTCCTGGTGAATATTCTTGATGAGAGATTGCCTTTCGTATGAAGTCCATGGCGAGAAGTCCATGATGCTATGTCTATATAATCATTGTAGTTTCAACTGTCAGGGTCGAACTGTGGTAGAAAGAAGGAAAGAGAAGGTGGGGAGGGGGAGAGGGAGAGGCTGACTAACACTAAGAAGATGAATCAACTTGTCCCATGGATATGAGGGTCTCCTAACAAGTAAACACCCTCTTCACACAGGTGTTCAAACAGATTTGTTCTTGCGTTATTGTCCAAATTACCCGGCTAAACCAAGGTAAATCAGTGTAAATACATACCTCAGGCCGTCTCTTCCTATGTGCTATGTGGAAAACCAGCCTGAAGTTCTACCCACTAGAATGATTTCCTTTATTTCAAAACAACTGTTGATCAGAGCTATAATATAGTGGTCATTGTCTTAAATAATCATATATCTAACTCTTTCCTGTTCTTTAGGAATGCTCTCTAATATTATTAAAAGAAACTATATCACTCAGAAGTCTTTAAAAAATCTCTTTGTCACCCAAATCATTAGGTGATACAGTCACTTAATTTCCCAAATCTTTAACCTACCATGCACTTTATTCTTTTCTACAACCTGTGATCATTTTAGTAACTATGTCTGGTTACCCTAAAAATGATATTATCTTCATTCACCACTATATAATCTAGTTCTGGAATTTTATTGCTACTTCTTAAACTTCCTCCATTAACAATATGCTGGTAGGAAAGAGATGGTATACTTACACTAGATCATTTGAAGATTGAGTGATAAGGGAACTATTTTTAGTGAAATAATCACAAAACTAGATGAGTAATCAACAATAACTAAGAGGAGTTACTTGGCTTCTGTATTGCAGTATCTATATGTTCTTTCTTTGTATATTAGTGTTTCAGAGATAGACTGTGAACTTCTGTGTTTACTTGCAGTGTTAAGTAATACCTCCTTTGTCCAACATCTCAATAACAAGAGTAAAGATGTTACTACCCCAATATATAACTAAAACACAACTTTCAAACACACGTAGCAAAAAGAAGAATAAAGATTAGTGAATGAAATGGAGTATGGAAAAACAATAGATAAATCAAATAAGTTGTTTTTTTGTGAAAGATCGAAATTGGCAAACGATTAGCTAAATGAATTCACAAAATGATAAAACAAATAATAAGAGTCAGAAATGAAAATAAAGTCATTATGACTGATTTCACAGATATAACTCAATTATAAAAGACAGTTATAGGGCAAAAAATGAATAACTAGAAGAATGGGATAATTTTCTAAAAACATGCAACCTACTAAATCATGAAGAGATAAAATATCTGAAAACATCTACAACTACTAAATCAGTGAATCAGTAATCAAAAACCTCCCTTTCAAAAGCCCAAGACAAGATGGCTTCATTATAGGATTCTATTAATCATTTAAATAAGAATTAATAACAATTCTCAAAAATTTTCAAAAATTGAACAGGAGGGAACATTTCCAAATTCCTAACAGTATGACCTTTACAAAAAAATAGTCAAAGGTGCTACAATAAAACTATAGACTGTGAACACTGATGTATACTGATGCAAATATAATCAAATGTATACTAGCAAATGAACTCAACAACATATTAAAAAAAGGCTATACGCCATGATCAATTTGATTTGAGATTTACTCCTGTAATGCAAAGATAGTTCAACATATATCGCTTCTGTCATATGCTACACATAGATAAAAATGGAGGATTTTTTAAAAAGTGAAACAAGAAAGTTACATAATGATAAATATCATATGATACCAGTTATTTAAAGTATCTAAAGGAGTCAAAGTCATCTAAACAGAAATTATGATAATGGTTACCAGGGACTTGGGAGAAAGGCGGGAAGGGAGTTGGCAAATTATTATGTTGATACAGAATATCAGTTTTGCATGATGAAAAATTCTACAGATCTATTATAAACAATATGAATATAGTTAAAACTACTGTACTATGTGCTTTTTACCAAAAACAACAAAAACCATGTGATACATTAATAGTAAGATTGTCATAATGAGTATGGTTTTAATTATATTTTAAGCAAGAAAACTATAAATGTATTTGTTTTTAACATATATATGCATATCTATCACATTTAAACATATTTCTCAAAATATATTTATTATTAGTTAAAGGTATATGTATATTTATAAGCTATAGTATCAACTGAACAAATACTTTACACATAAAAACTAAAGGACAAAGCTAAGAATGTGGCTCACTTTTCTGCTTGAGAAGTACTGTTTTGAGAGGACTCAAGTTGTGGCGCTCCTATTGCATACCCCAAAGCATAACCGAGTATTGCTGCAGCATCTGCAATACCTGCAAAATAGACACCGAGCATGAAGAACCCTCTTAAACCAGCTTTGTTACAGATAATAAAAATTGTTTAACTTAAGTGGATTATTTTGGAAAACTTTTCATAGCCTGACATATTAGCATCCTTCAGAGAAACAGCAGATAGTTTTATGTAAGAAAGTGAAGTAAAAAGAGGTAGGAAAAAAGGAAGATGGAGAGAGAGGAAGAGAGAGAGAGATAGAGAGAGAGAGAAGGAGGGAGAGATTTTAAGAAATAGGTTCATACAATTATGGGGCCTAACAAGTCCCAAACAGTAGGTTCATACAATTATGGGGCCTAACAAGTCCCAACAGTAGGTCAGCAGGCTAGAAATTCAAGCAAGAGTTGCTATTATAGCCTTGAAGGAGAATTGCTTCTTATAGGGGAAACGTTGGTCTTTGCAGGTAAGAGCTTTAAGTTAACTGGATGAGGCCTAACCGCATTACCTACTTTATGCAAAGTTTACTAACCGTAAATGATAAACAATATCTTTATAGAAACATCTAGTGTTTAACCAAACAGTAGGGTGCCTTAACTTAGATATGTTGACACATAAAATTAATCATCATACATATTATCCAAGCAAGATGAGAGAAATTCAGATAATTTTCTTATATAATTCATTATATCCTATTTGATCTATACATTTATGGTATAAATTATAAGTTCAATATTCCATCTTTTCTTTAATAATGAACTATACAACAAGATGATACTTTTATACCACCACCTTTGCATCCTTAGCCTTAACTGCCAAGGTGGCAGGGAGAGATGATACCATACGCCTCTCTCTATGTTGTGGAGTTATATGTTTTAATTGCTATTCAATGGAATTAAGAATAAAAGAAAGAAATTTAGTGTCATTTTTGTGACTTCTAACAAATTCCTGCAAACATTTTTATAAAAATAAACTTAAATATGAATATCTTCTATGTTAGTTTATTAACATGAACTTTCTTATACATGGTGGAAAATGATTGTTTCAGTGCAAAATGTTTACTTTTTTTTCAAAATATTTACTTTTAGTATACACCTTCATACCAAGTATATCATACTAAGTATATCAAAGTATATCAAAAAAGCAAAATGTTTTTTTCAAAATGTTTACTTTTAATAAACACCTTCATAGTAAGTATGTAAACTGTATATTTTTCTTCAAAATTATACTTAGATAACCATGTAAAAATAGATGACATACAAGGACCAGAATCTATCACAATAAAAAAAGATATATTATTCTGAGATATAGCTAGAATAATTATAGACATAGTAGCAAAAGACATTGTGAACAAGAGATTCCACTACATTCAATTAAATAGCAAATCAATATCCCTCTTTGAAGAAATTTTCAATTAGCTTAAGAATATTACATGCTCTAAAAAGATTGAGATAATATGTGTAAAGAGATTTGAGTATGATGGTACTTCAGGATCACAGTGAGTAGTAGTAAGGAGCCATATAATAATGTCCTGTACCCTAATGGATATAAAGCAACAATGTTCATCTGCATACCCAAAGTTTAAAAATACAACTACTCAGCCTCTTGAATTCAGCAACTGTAGATATTTCTCCAGAGAAAAGAACTACAGCCTGTATAGCATAGTATGAGTATATGGATCTAAACATACATATATGAAAAAATACATACATACACATATACATACATATATATGCACACAGACATAACATATACATATACACATATATGTATCCATATGTGCATATATGTCTAGCTAAAGAATATTTTCAATACCTAAAGGAGTATTTTTCCTATTGTTCTGTATATTTTCAGCGGCAGTCATATAAATATCCAATAACTTCTCTAGAATTCCAAATTTCAAGTAACATATTTAGGGGATCGAGTGTGATTGGTGTTTGTTTGTTTGTTTTGGTGCTGCTGAGGATCAAACACGGGGCTTCCAGCATGCTTTGAAAGTATTCTCCACCCTCTACAACTCAGGTATATCCTCAGTCTCCAGTGTGATTTTGCAGGTAAACATACAAGATACATATTACAACGTTATCACAGGGCCAGTAGTTAATATACTATATCTGTTAAAATATACATACCAAATTATAGAATGGATGAAAATTCAAAATAGGTAAATCACATTGGTGAAGGAAGAACTTGCCTAAATAGATGCCAGATGAGTGTGTGTAAACATTGTCGTCAAGAAAGGTTATCCCAAGGATGTAAAGAGGCATTCCTGCCATTCCCTGAACTATCTGTCCAAGAGCGAAAAACGTTACATATTTTGCTTGAAATGATGATTTGCTTCTCAGACAGGGATCAAGAATCTTCGTTGTGCTGCAAATATCTTTAGAAAAGATAGCAGTCATTTTTATAAATGGAATTTAGAAGTTAAATATACAACAAACATGCAATAGTCTTTATCAAATATTTTCCTTCTACAAGCTGTTGCCACTATTATGCTTTTGTCTTTTAGATAGGTAGTATTTCATTTGTGTTTAATGTTGTCCAATAATTACACATCATATTCTCAGAAAAATACCATTATGATATTTATGAAACTACTAGAAGAGATGCATGTATTATAAAATAAATGTGTACGTGTGATTACTTGTGTACACACAATTATGTGTGCTTAGGTATGTTTTTATTCTATATATAAATGTATCTTGCATATGCACTTATTTTCTTCTTCTTTTTTTTCAGACAGGAAGTTCTCTGTAGCATAGCCTGGTCTCAAATTTGAGATCCTCCTGTCTTTGCCTCCCAAGGAGCTGGGAATACATGTACCACTGCACCTGGTCTCATTTTCCTCTTAATTTTGCATCCTATTGCTCTAACTTTGGCCCCTAGAATAAAAGTATTTCTAATGTCCAGGATTATCTTAATTATCAAAGCTTACCATTTGTATTTAGTTCTATGTCCATTTCTTTAGCATTATTTATGGTAAATTTGTGTCACTCTGATTAAATAATTTTCCATTTTACACCCACTAAATTCTAGAACATGGATAATAAGGCAAAGCATTATACAGTAAAAAAAATTCTGCTAAAGTTAGTCATTATATGAACATCCAGCTATTACATTTTAAAATTCTTTAGGTTTCATAATCTCTCTTACACTTTTTTATTTATGTAGCTACAGAACCATACTAAATAAATATTTGTGCATTAGCATTTGTTATTAGATGGATAAATCTAGACAATCACTTTTAGATCCTATTGATTGTAGGCTTGGGGTTGAACTGTAACAAATGCTCTTGCAACATTATTGTGGAAAATGTAATGAAGTACAGATTGCAACTCAGTATACCAATGGAAGTTTTCATCTGGCTGGGTGTCTATAGAATGATATTTGACTCTATAACAAGTGAAAAGAGATCTCTAGAATTGTGGGTCAAATGATGATTGTTCAGTTCATACAGACACATTGACTTATAGTGATATCAGTACTGGTGTGTGGGATTTTCCACATCCTACTCCCTTAGTTGAGACCCCTTTTTATTAGTATACATTTCTGAGACAGAATAAATACATTTATCATAGAAATTTTTTTCTTCTCATTCTCTGTACCCCATTTCTCTTAGCTGCTCATTGTAAATGTACAATATATGGACACAGCTTCCATAATTGGAATTTGTACCCATCTACACTCTGATTTTCCATATCTTTCCAGCTCACTCTATTCAGTAAGTAATTCAAATAATCCTTAAAACTTATCAGGACCAATTATCATTTGATATTCTTTTCACTGTCTAATGTCCTCTTATGTCATTGCTTCTATCATTTACCACCTTAACTTTTGCATTGTTTTGCTTTTTTCACATAATTCAATCTCCTCATAAAATGGCAACCCTACTCAAATTATTTCTTTAAAGCTAGTTGTGGCTGGAGGAAAAAAAACCACAACCACTAAAATCTTGTGAATGCATGAGGAATAAACTCAAGAAGCTCCCTTATGCTTCTGATAATCATAAAAAGTGCCGTTAGCCTGCTTATTTCACTTTATCCTAGAAAATTCAACTTGTTTGTATTCTTTCTCCTAGATATGCTAGTCCTAAATTTCCCATTGACTGACATCTGAAAAGCAACAATATTTTCAAATCAATTAATAAAAGTAATTTTTGATATCCTTATTCACATTAAAAATAACTTTGGTTTCAACTAAAATTATATGGTTACTATAAATGCCAAGCAAAAGAGGATAGAATTCAAGTAGAAAGGAGTAATCTTCTCACAAAATCTGACATAAAACCTCCAAAGAAAAAGAACAAAGAAAACCAAGGTTAAGTAACATGAATTAGGTTTGTGACTTCATGAAAGGATTTTTTTGCACCATTTAGGATCGAAGCCATGCTAAAGTGGACTGAATAAAGAATAGGAGATTAACTCAGGAAGCATGAACAATTCCTTCAAAAATTTGCCTGTGAGGATGTTGCAAAAGTAATAAAAAATAAGACTGACAGTTATTGACCTTGTTTAAGTATGGGGGAAAACTTGAGCGCATTTGAGTGTCACTAGGGAGAACCAATGGAGAATAAGGATTTTCAGGAAGAGGAAAAGGAGATCACGAATGGAGCAAATTCTCCAAGAAGGCGAGGAAGCACAGAATGCTTACCAGGAGGAATCACTTCAACAGGTAGGAAAAAAGTAAAGAACACTAACATGCAAATATAGGTGGAATTAAAAACTATGTTTAAAAATTAAAGCAATATTATTTTATGGTATGTACTTCTCACACAATGCAGAACAGTAGAGTTAAGTGAAGAAAGTGTAAAGTTGATTATTATGGAATGTAGAGTATATAATAATTGTTTAGGTGAGAGATCAGTTTGAGAGCAAAATTAGCAACTGAAGTTGACAGCCACAAATTTACTGTAGGGCTCATCAGCTGTCCAAGTGTGGCTAAAGGAAAGGTGTATAATTGGGTCAATAGGTTCATAGTTTAGGGACAGAAAAACAAAAGTAGGACATGATAAAGGGATTAATTAAAGCATAGTGTGGAAGACAAAAGGAATACCAAAGTTCTCAACTTCATACCACATATGAAAATTCGTAAAGAAGAAATAAATTCATGGAGCTATAATCCTAAAATATTCTTTCCTCTCCTCTCTAGGCTCATATGATCATGCCACATATGTTCACTAATTAGAGTAGTTAATAAACTTGGTTATACAAATGGTAGATATACGACAGGTATCACACACTGTTTCAAATTTCTTGAGTCAACAGTTTAAATGACTATTTATTTGAGGTATCACAGATTATTTGAAAATCTTACCTTCAGTTTTTACCTCTGATTCATAACTTTTAACACCGAAGTATGGAAAAGCAAGTAAAAGTGATCCAAATCCTACCAGAAAGGAGGAAAATGCAATCCACTTTATTCTGTTTCCGCTCCCTCCATAGTATGCTATAAATACTGCCACCAAGCAAGAAGAAATATCATAACTGAGTGTCAATGCTAATTTCTCAGTGGTTGTCAGAATATGGTGTTGTTCAAAATCATTATTGCTCAGATCAATAAGACCAAACACAATACCTAAAGTGTAAAAACAAAAGAAGATAATAATATGTATCTTGAAGATAAAATATATCATTATTATAATCATTTTGAATCAAACCTTAATTTATACTACTTTTATTGTTCATTATTCTAAATGTTTACACCTATGAACACATGATTTTGTGAACCCCTTTCTGATGCTCAATAGATTTTAACCTCTGAAATATTTGCTAATTAAATTTTTGAAGTTATTTTTTAACAATCTCTATGAGTAATTTAATGAAGATTTTAAAAATGTTTTTTAGTAATACAGATTTGTAGTACATGATGTTTATATTCCTTGTGTGGAGTTAGTACATGTACATAACACATGGCTTTTTTCTTAATTCTTGTTTTCATCCATGGTCCCTCTCTTCCCTCCATCTCTTCCCCTTTGAGAAAGATCTATCTCCCTATTTTCTATTATCTATCTTTTGTTTTGCTCTTTATTTATACTTTGGTGTTCTCGTATAGCAAAAGCCTGCAATATTTAAATTTGTGTGTCTGAATTATTTCACTTAACATTATGGTTTCAAGGTGCAGGAGAGGCTTTGAGAAAAAGAAATCCTTCTACACTGTTGGTGGGAAAGTAAAGTAGTACAAGAGCCATGGAAATTAGTGTGGAGACGTCTCAAAAACCCAAAACTAGGAATTCTATTTGACCCAGTTATTCCCCTTCTAGATATCCTGCTAGGAGAGTCAAAGACACCCAGTGATGCATGCATACTCATTCTAAGGGTTCAGACATTGTGTCAATGTAAGAAGATTAGAAGTCTGGATAAACAACTCAGCAGGGGGCCTGGGTTCTTTCTTTGTAAACAACCTCAGCCTGTGCAGGAGGAGGGCCCGGAGATGGTGTGAGTGCTGTACCTGCCCTAGGGCAGGTAGCCTACTTACAATACAAGGGAGGAAAAGAGGCTTGCTCTCCCCACTTTTTTGCTCTTGTGCTGTTGCTGTCTTCTGTTGCCTTGAACTGTTGCCCTCTGCCATGTCACCCTGCTTTGGAGACAGATGATTATGGACTGAAACATCCACATTTTGTGAGCTAAATAAACCTTTTCACCTTAATTTTGGGCATTGGGTATTTTGTCTCAGCAATGAGAGAAAAGTAATCAAGACACCCATGGTTATAGGTAGGTATGATTCATAATAGCTAAATCTTGAGCCTGTATGAAGATTCCTTGTTGCTGTGTCATCCCTCTTAGTATTGGTCTGTATTTAAGTGTGTTATATTTCAATTATTTAAAAAAAATACATAATCTAACATGTAGAGCAAATCTATCTACTACCTAGAAATAGAAATAAACTGCTACCATCACAGTTGAAGCCCAACATGTGTTCCCAAACATGCTCCTCTCCCTCCCCTTCAAAACCAGTTATATCAATCAACTTTCCTGTCCCTGGGACACAATACTCAACACCCACAACTTATGTTAGTTACAGTCATAGCAATGGCCACTGTCAATAAAATTTTCAGTGTTGGTCAGCTCTCCTCTCACTGGGACATTATACCTGACACCCATGACTTAAAGGAGCAGAGGTTTATTTTGAATCACAGTTTCAGGGGATTCAGTCCATGATCAGCTGTTTTGAAGGCAGAAACAGCATGGCAGAAGGGGCATGGCAGAGCAAAACTCCTTAGTCCATGGAAAGTAGAACACGGGAACAGTACCCAAAAGAAAGAGGCAAGGGGTCACATATACGAGTAACACCCAAGTCATTACTCCTTGGCCCTTTGAGGTATTACCACCAGGACCCACCCAGACACACTGAAGAGTGCTGCACCAATCCCCTGGAAGGCTCCCAAGTCAATTTGACAAAATCAAGCTTAACAATCACATCAGTATTCTCTATTTAGAATTACCACCCTTGATCATTTTAAACCATTTTTTTTTTAAATTGTATTCAATGCAAACAATATAAGGAATTGTTTTTCATATTCTTCAACATTAAATAAATGGTAATGTACATGTCTATCATTTAGCATAGACAGGAAAAAATAATCACACTAAGTATTTGAACAAAGAATAAATTGATACAGGAATGGTTGCAAAAGTAAGATACTTATTAGAATGACAAGGGAAAATCATTATTAATTAAAACTCATGTATAAAAGCTGTTACCACTGCCGCTGCTTGGAACTGCTATGAAAACTTTGTTTTGGGGAAGCCAGGGACCCACTCTCTTCCCAGTGTTGAGAACCAGTCTAGTCACCTGCTGCTTCTGAGGCCCCTGTAGTCGCCACAGCCAGAATCCGTGAGCACAGTACTACTAAATCACTGTTGCTGCAGCTGAAATCACATTTACTCTAGAGTTTAAAGCCAGCAGCCTTCAATCACCTGGAAGTTCTGCTGTCACAACTCCACAGACAGAAAATAATAGAGGTCTCCTTCTGGCCCTTTTGCTATTAATGCCCTGGCCTCTCAGGGGCAACACCTAAGTGAAAGCCAGCAGAAAGGCAGCTGGCAAGGTCTCTGGGAAACATGGTTTACAGGCTGCCATCCCCTCACAAACAGGAGGGCATTCAGAGGACAACACAGGAGTTTATGACCACCAGACAGAAAGTCTTCAGAGCTCATCCTTCAGACTACTCAGCAAATGTTTCCACCCTTCACTCTATATTTAAACATCCATACCAAGTGGAAACATCATCGTGATTTCCCCTAATGCGCTTTAATGATATTCTTACAAAGATGCCTTCCCCTGTCCCTAAAGAGACACATAGTCCATTCAGTCAAGGTATTCATCTCACAAGCCTAAGTAGATTTTCTTTAACTTAAAAACCAAATATCAAAGTTTGCTGCCACGAATAAAGCAAATATATCATAAGCCTCACTAAATTTGTGAAGGAATTATATAACTAAAGAAAAAAAAGCCATGAATGTAGTTCAGCAGCACAGTGCCTGCCTAGCAAGCTTGAAGTCCTGAGTTCTATTCCTGGAGCCAAAAAATAAAAATATAACTAAAGAAACTACCAGCAATGTTGGTAGGTACTAGTTTAATACATTAACTCCATGAGGTCACAAGGAACTGAATACCTTGCTGCACTCAAAAGAATTTTCTTCAAATCACTATAGATACAGCCACAGAGGATAATGGCCAAGGCAAGAAACAATTCCTTTTATTAACCATGTCCACGTCCAGAGAGGAGAGTATTAATCTGCCTTCTCATTCAAGCACTTTCTATAATTTACACACACACTTAGAAGATTATCTACTATAAGTAAAGTATGAACACAAAAACAGAATGAGAAGAGACAAAGAATTGGAATATATACATATATAAACATATATACATGTAAACAAAAATAGAGGAGGTACATGTTTGTGTGCATATAGGTAAAAACAAATAACAGAAATTGCCTAGCTCTATAATTTTTATATCACCAAATTGTTACGAGACCACAGTTTTGTATTAATAGCTTCTTTCTCCCACCACGTAGCCCTCTTCTATCCTTTGGTCCCAGATGACATAATGCACACAGGTTACTATCACAAAGTATATTCCTCATCTTGTGGGACAGCATCCCAAACTTGATTTTGTCTGCTGGTTGCAGTCTCATGCCCACAGGGCATTACATTTATCAATAAGACCAAGCATTTCTGTTTTCTGAGATATGTTGTGAGGTAGATGATTGTTTGAGTATTAACCACCTGCTGTGCTTCTTTCTATAGAAAAAGTTCCATGATTAGCAACAATGTGATGGGTAATATGATCACAATGATGCACAAAGCATTTATTAAGTCTAAGTATCTCAGTGCTTGCAAAACCCTGATATCAAAAGCAGAGGCCATATCTAAAACAAAATTTCTATTTCATTGAAATATTCCAATACATTACTGGGAGAGTTCATTTTAGGCATTTGATCCAGATCAATTCATTTATCAGAAAAAACTCTTCTACCATTATCCCCAAAGGAGAATTTTATTACCAGTACATGTAGCAAAGGTGTAAAACAGAGAGGTTATTGCTGACTGTCTTTTAGATTTAAGTATCTGTCAGAATAAGAACTCTGCTCATCATGCATCATCTCACACACTGTGAGAAAAAGAGCAGCACAGAATCTAGAAGTCCACAACTAAATCCAGCTCAGCTTAAATAAATTTATTGGTATTGTCCAAAAGGGAGTGAGAATTATTGTGATAGATAAAAAGGACAAGAAATGTAAGCTGGAACTACCCCAGGTAAGGAAAATGTAGGAAACCTATTTTAATACTAGGTTAAACAGGTTCCCCATACTGTAAGGAAATTAATTAAATGAAGCACAGGAGAATTTTATGAGGATGAAGAGTACAATCCTATCACAATGATTATCATTGTACTAATTCAACTATCAAGTGACTAGGATTAACTAAATAAGAACATAAAAATATAAAGAGAAATACAGCCAAACAAAATTTAACATTCAAAACGTTATAAATCAAGTAAGAAAAGATAAGCAGAACTGTTGAGAATGACAATGTACCATCCTCCCAGTGTAATACATATATAACTTTTAAAATATTGCATTTTAAGATGTAAAATATTAAGACATATTTGAACATTCCCCTTTGATACAATTTTCCAATTTATTCATTACATTTCAAATAATATTAAATTAAGTAATTCAGTCCACCCATCCTGCTAAAAATGAAAGTGCCAAAAATAATTCTGTATCTGTTTAGACACATGTAAGAGTTAACCCAGCAATTAAAAATTAAAAGAGGAAATCCAGAAAATACAAGAAACCCAGATAGGTAAGTTTTGCCTTAACCATGTGACTTCAGTCAATTGAATTTAAACTATTGTGCTGTCACTGCACTCCATAGGTAGGAAATTTCATTCTGTATTTGCATTAGCAATAAGGTTATTAATACTTTAAAATCTAGTCAGAATCAAGATGTATCATGCACAGGTACAAATTCCCTCTGATGACTGTGATCATTATGTATCTTAAATGTACCAATAAATTAATTTTTAAAAATCTATTCTGATAAGACAAAAATTCCAAATATCACAGCTTTAAGGAATCATATCTTCTGCCAAAAAAGTTTATCAGTTTGGGGTTAACAAGAAAATGAAAATGAATCTTATAAGGCTAGAAAATGAGAGTCTAGGAGTTAGGGGTTACATTCCAATGCTGAGAATGCTCAGACACAGACGATTCTGGAAGCTGCATAAAAATTCAGAAGTTTGGGGCTGGGGATTTAGCTCAGCGGCAAAAGCGCCTGCCTGGCAAGCGCAAGGTCGTGAGTTCGGTCCCCGGTACCGGAGAAAAACCAAAACCAAAAAAAAAAAAAAAAATTCAGAAGTTACAGTGAGTAGGAGAGTAGCGATAAACAATGAAGCTGAGAAACAGAGAAGTCAGAGTCTTTCTCCTAGGAGCAATTCTCATTGCTATTTTCCCTTCAAAAAATCATCAAACTGATCAGAAAGCTGGTTAATGCACCATATTTTCAAGAATTTTAAGTCCAAACTGTTCCAAAATTGTTAAGAAGTATAAAGTATCCTGCAAGACCTAAGGCAAAGTGATGAGCCTTATAAAATCCAAAAATAAAGTTACATGGATAGAATGATGGAAAAGGCAGAGGATATACATTTTATTCTAAAAGTAAACAATGAGAAAATAATAAGGGTTCAAGCCAAAATTAGTCTGAAGTCTAGCAGGAAAAATATTAAATATTTAGTCTTCATTTCCAGCATCTAGGTACAATACAATTCATGTAGACTCCCAAGAATTTGGGCAGCCTTGCTCCTATGGTTATGCTGAATACATCACAGTCTCTCCCTGTAAGGCTTGTATATTCCCTGCAGCTTCACTTGACAATCGCTCCACCGTGCTGACTTCTTTACCCTCTGGTGGTCTCCACTGCAGCTTGTGCTTCACTCTCACGGATCCACACATTGCTCCATCACTGAGTATTTGCAGGGACACCAACCCTGCAACGCACTTCCTTTTGAAATCTCACTGGAAATTTCCATGATGTCATAATTCTTTTACTCCACATGCCTGCAAAACCACCATCCTATGAGCAATGCCACTGTCCATCACCAGGACAAGTTATGTCTGTACCCACTTGAATCACCTCAAGCAACAGCTTCTGAGTACCTTGCCGGCTAAACACAGGGAAATTATTCCCTAGCCTTTTTTAAGTCTTTAAAATAAATTTCTATGCTGGGGATATAGCTCAGTGGCATAATTGCCTGCCTGGCAAGTGCAAGGTCCTGAGTTCGATCCCCAGTACTGCAAAAAAATAAATAAATAAATAAATAAATTTCTATGTCTACACCTTTCAGCCTGTAGTGGCTACAGCCTTGCCAATTTCTATCACTCCCTCCAGGAATCTTTCCTAATATTCCCATGCAAAGCACTTGACTTCTTTTTGTGGGCAATAATAACCTTCTCTAGCAGCTCCTATGAACATGTTCCTTTCCTGGCCAAAGTATAAAATTTTTTGAACTTTTAGCTATGCTCTCTTTACTCTTATTTCTCACTGTAAATTTAGCTACAACCACCCAGTTATTCTCATGGCATTTCCAGGGTTCTATGCTGCCCTGAAATGTCCTCTATCCAGTAAACTTGATACCCTGAAGCTATCAGGGTATTGACAAAATGCATCCAAACTAATTGCTATAGTATGACAAAGAAAGCCTTTGGTCTATTTCCAATAGAAACATCATTTTCATAAAAATCTCATTAGCATAACCTTTACTGTTCTCATTTGTATTTGCTCACCTGTCTTTTGTGCCTCTACCAGAATCCTCTGCCTCACTTATAGCATTCTAAGCTTTATCTATTCTCTTCCTTCAAACCTTTGTAAATTTCTCCTGCAAACCAACTCCAAAGGCTTTCCCACGTCATCACTTATATACTAACTACAAGGACCCTACTTGTTGGGTACCAGCTTCTTGTGTTAATCAGCTTTCCATTACGGCAACAAATATCAGAGATAACTAATTTACAAAGAGAAAATATTCATTTTCAGAGGCTCCAGCCCATGATCAGTTGGCCATATTATTTTGAAGGTGATGGTGAGGTGGGACATGATGGTGGTACACCTGCGGACAGGAAGCGGAAAAAAAAAAAAAAAAGACCCTGAAGTCCCACAATACTCTTCAAGGTTATGTCCCCAAAGACTTGCATTCATTTATTTCCTCAATACATACTCAACTACATTGCCATCTATCAGAACTGTATAGAACTATCAAGGTGTAACTCAAAGGACTTCCTCCAAAAAATTTCTGGGAAGATCTCAAGACAAACTAATGTCCACTTCATTACTTTCAAATGGTTCTTTTCATATGCAACATTTTTCTTGCACCTATTTAAAAGCATAGCATTTGGGAGCAAAAAGAGGGCAGATCTAGCAAATTTCTGTGCCATCAGTTTAAAAAGGCTAAGAAACAATCAGGATATAGACGGACTGATGAACACTGTAGCCCAGCATTCAATTCATGACCTATCTTTAGGTATGAAACGCACCTTCTTCAAATAGTACAGGCAAAAATAAACACCCTCATGTTTCCTTCTCTGGTCTAGACTTCTGGAAGTCCCATCACTCTCCTGCAACCCACAGACAAGGGAACAACATCCAGAGTCTCAAAATTGTGAACAGAATTAATCTGAAGTTCAAACACACACTGTCTTCAGCTTTATTTTTCCGCCCAAAAGACTGAATACAATTTAGAGTTGGTAACCAAGGGAAATTAAGGGACATCTCTCCCCCTGGCTCTCGGGGGGACACGGCCTTAACACCCAAAATGTGGCGCGGCCTGTGTCAGCGCGGTGCCAGGAAGGCGCGCAGGACAGGAGCGAGGAGGGAACAGCCTGCACCGCGCCTGCGCAGCAGACCCGGAGGGGGCGCCCTCTCCCTCCGCAGCCCAGGTTGCCTCGCCCTTCCCTCTCCAGAGCCGCTCCTCCCCTGGGGCTCACCCTGACACACGAGCAGGACGCAGTAGAAAGCCATGAACCACTGAATGCTGTTGAAACGCTGGCAGAAGGGGATCACGAGGCAGCCCAGGCCGCACCTGTCCCCCGCGGAGCCGGCGGACTGCTTCCCCGGCGCCTTCTTGAGCGCGGAGAGCTTGGCCTTCTTCCTCTTTGTGGCCCGGGTGAACCTGAGCATGGCTTTCGGGAGCACCGTGAGGTAGGGGGGCTTTTTCTTGGAGGCCTTGGCCTCCTTCTCCTCCTCCTGGGCATCCTGGGCCCTCTTCATAGGCTGCTCAGACGTGGGCCCCGACTCCGCTTCCACCTGGGCTTCCCGCAGGGTCACCAGGCGCAGCGCTGGGCCTTGCGGCATGGCTGCCGCTGGGGACTCCCCTGAGGAGCGGAGCCAACGGGGCTGCTCGGCCGGGGGAGACGTGCGTCCGCGCGGGAGTGACCGTTGCCCTGGGACAACTTCCCAGGCTCTTCTCCTCCTTTGCTTCCACGCGGGGAAAAGGCAAACAAAGCAAAACAAAAAGTGAGAACTCGATTCGGATAACTGCCGACACACACAGGGAGTACTAGAGTAAGGCAAAGGGTTTCTTTATTTATTTAATACTCGTGAGGAAGCAAGGAAAGAGAAATGTGTAAAGTTGGGACCGTGAAATTGTCATTTTCTCAGATTTACTGTATTGTGGCATTTTTTCTCCAACCAGATCATTTCACTCGATACAAACTGAGATTTGGTGACGCACCAAAGACCAGAAGTGGAAAAGATACCAACAACCCAAATAAAATTTGGAAGAGCAATAGAGATGAGGAAAGAAAAAATAGTTCAGTGAGTGCCCTTCAATAAAAAGTTTAACGCATATAAAATATTCTCTGAGAAACTCTATTGCTACCACACAACCGAAAGCATTATTTTCCTCCTTGACTGAAGTCATGGAATGCATAGGATGCCTTGTTTTCCCAGGTATAAAAATCTCACTGGAGAGAAAGACTGTAAAGGGATCGTTGCAGAATGTGAAACTTGTTTTACATGGAAACATTTTATTGGATTGCTTTTCTTCGGTTAACTATAAGTTATTTTATCTATACATATGGAGAGGATGATTTCCAGAAGACATGAAACCATGTTCTTTCCTATGGATTAGATGTGTTGTCAAAAACAATCCTGCTCTGCAGCAAGTCTTTGCTTGTGCTGAGAAAGTGCTAGCCTGGTAGACAAGGAATAAAAAAACACCTAAAACCACTGATGTGAGCCTGAGATTGACTCAAAAAGCTACGTGCATGTCCGAAAGAGTCTTGCCAGATGTACATTCATTCCAGTAACATCCTCGTTTTCCATGTTCAGCAAATTCAACTTCAGTGGCCCCTCATATTGCTTCATAACGTTATGAAGCCTAAGACAACATAGAATTCTGAGGAGGGAGGAAATGGAGAAGGAGGAAAACCCGTATCTTTCTCCTTTGCTATCATACTGGCCACTGGATATGAGACAGTGCTGTGAAAAATAAGTGATATCAGAAATCTTGCTTCTACCCAGAACACAGAGAGCTTTTCTATATTTCACTCCAATTTAGTGTCAACAATAAAGATGAATATACATCAATATATTTTTGAGCCCAGTAAAAGACTACATTTACAAAGATACAAGATAATGAAAAGAGAAACAAGCCCTTTGGAAGAGATATACACACAGGTGGCCTCACCTTTGGAAGAGCACAGGAAAAAAGAGCAATAATAAAAGAAAATAGGAATATTTGAAATTTTAACACATTCTTAAATGCCAATGCAGGTATTAACAACAATGAGATATTATTTCATTCCACATGAAGATCATAATAATGATAATAATAATAGTAAAAAGACAATAACCAGTGTGGCCAAGCACAATAACCAGCAGTGAGATTAAAACCTTCAAATGTGGCTTGTAGGAATTTAAAATGCAGGTTCTTTGGCAAACAGTTGGAAAATCCCCCAAAATGTGAAACACGGAGTTTACAATAAGACCTAGAAATTCCACTGCTGCAATACACCATCAATTAAAAAAACAGATGAAAACTTACACACAGATGGAACAGCAAAATTGTTTATAACACCAAAATTAGACTCAACCAAAATTCCCATAATGCAATGAATGGACACAATGTAGTATGTCTGAACAACAGACTGTTCTTCAGCAACTAACAGGAATGAAGTACTGGCTTCTGTTCCATCACTGATGAATCTCAAACACATTACATTAATTGAAAAAAGCCATTCACAAAAGAGCACATATTGTATGATTCTATTTGTATGAAGTGTCTAAAATAAGCAAATCTCTACGTAGAGAAGATAGATGAATGAAAATAGATGAGTGGCTCAGGGTGAGTGGCTGGTGGAAAAGGAGTAAGAAAATGTAGAGGAGATTGATAGTAACTTTTCTTTCTCAAAATGACATACACGTTTTTAAATGAAATCATGATAATAGCTGACAAATAATAATGGCATGGTCAATATTAATTTGGAAACATTTAGAGAAAGCTTGAGAAAGCCTTACAAAGCAAGTCCTAAGTGAAGGGCATTAGTGGTTTAAAAACAAATGGAAATAAACATACCAACCTGTGGGGTATTGCAAAAGCAGTACAAAGAGATAAGTTTATACAAATGAGCTCCTACCGTAATGATTGATGCATTGTGTCAACTTGAGAAGTTTAGAAGTTTAACTCAGCAGGGGGCAGGGTCCTTACTTGTAAATATCCTCATCTTGTGCAAGAGGAGGACATGGAGATTGTGTGAGTGCTACACCCACCCTTGAAGGGGGTGGCCTGTTTATAATATAAGGGAGGAAAAGAAGCTTGTTTCCCCCCATTTTGTTCTTGTTGCTTTTGCTGTTTTCTGCCACCTTGAACTGTCGCACCTGTGCCATGCCACTCTTCCTCATAGCCAGCTGATTATGGACTGAAATTTCCACAAACCGTGAGCTGTGTAAACCTTTCCTTCCTTAATTTTGGGTATCGGGTATTTTGTTTCAACGAGAGAAAAGTAAGCAAGACACCTATATAAAAAAGAAAAAAGATTCAAATAAACAATTGTGCAACTCAAGTAACTAGAAAAGCAAGAAATTTAAAAGCCAAATTTAAAATTAGTGTGTTGTGGCTTTTGTCTAGACATTCTCCACAAAGACTCATGCAGTCATAGGTGGGCTTTTTCAGAGGTGGTTTGATCTAGGATCTGGAGTGTGTGATGCTGGAGTTGATTCATGGTTCAGTGCTGGGCTCAAGGGCACTAAGGTTAAAGGTATGAGTGTGTAGTGTGTTGATAACTGGTGGTCAACTTATAACTGCCAGCTGAACTGAGTAAGTGTGGTGCTGCATACGGGAGGCCCACCTGGGGATTGTTGCCAGCAGCATAAGAGGCAGACCTGGAGGAGAAGGAAAAAAAGGTTTTGGGGAACTAAAGAGGCTGTGGGAGCTGAGAGGCTGTTGGAAGCTGATAGAACCGGTAAGGAGTTGTTGGTTATTTTTGAGGAGCCTGTCATGCTGGCTTTCGTGATGAACTTTGCTGTTTTCATCCTCCAAGGCACTCAGGACCTTATTGGCACTGAGAATAGCTTTGTTTCAGTTCATGTTGGGGGAGCTCTAGTCCTCACTCAGCATTGCTTCCTGACTCTGGAGGGGAAGAAGGAGCATAGCTCAGGCTCCTGAAGAAGCTTCCTGCATGGGCTTTCCTCGTGGAAACTCAGCTGTCTTTTTCATTGGAGGAGCTCGGGACCTCACTGTTGCTGAGGATGGCTGTGGTGCCTTTTAGGGGAGCTCTGGTTCTTCTGAGCTTCCTGGATCCCATGCAGATCCCTCAGCCTGCTAGCACAGATTCTTCATTCCACTTGCACAGACTTCCTAGATTCCGCCACTGACCTTTGGGCCTTCACAGTGCAAACCAGGCCTGTATGACATATTGTTATGTGTTCTGGGCCTCCAGTTGGACTCATGGGAGGCATTGTTATGGGCTCTAGGTATTCAGCTGAACGCATGTAGGACGTTATCCTGGGATCCAGGCCCTTGGCTAGATTCCTTGGTCTTAGTGTGTGGACAGATTTCCTGCACTCTATTGTATATCTCCTTTTGGGTGACTATTATAAATAATCTTATAAAATGTGTGTCTGGTTATATATTGTTTTCCTTGCAAAATAACTGCCAAATCAATACAGAATGCTATCTACCCTAAGTAGCCTGTATAAGATAAAAGCAGCAGAAAGAGCTTAGATCTTCCCTTCTTGCTTCACTAACTTCTACATCCCATGAACTGTTTTTCTCTGCAAATCCACACTGCCTTAGAGCCAGGTAATTATGGATAAATCCTCTACAAACTGTGAGCTATAAACCTTTCCTCCATTAACTTGGGGATGTTAGGTATTTTGTTTCAGTAATGAGAAAAATAACTAAGACATAGTAAAAAAAGAAAGAAATAATAGATAAGAGCAGAAATAAATGGAGGTGAGAAGGATTACAAAAAATGAACAAAACAAAGATTTGGTGTTTGAAAATATGAACAAACAATAAAACTAATACTATCTATAGAGAGAAGAGCAAAATGAATAAAATCAGAGGTGAAATGAAGACATTAAAATGGATATGATACAGGAAGAACAACCGGGATGAGGGAAAGGAGAAAAGAAGAAATAAGGAAGGGAAAAATATATACACAAGGACAGATGGGATAATTGTACTGCTGATGTCTTTTGGTTTATTGAAAGGAATAGTTAATGTTTAAAATTTTTTCTTGACCATTTTTGCACGCTTACATCTGTAACCTGAACAACTAATTTGAAGATAACTATGAAATATAGCAACCATTGTTAAATTCTTACCATCTTGTTTAGTGAAGCTCTGTATTGTTTCTAATGTTTTTTTATTACTTTTTATTCTCTTTAATTGTTCAATCAATCTTGCCCTCCTACATCTGGTAATCTGAGCAATTTCATTGATAATAACAACATGTAATATAACAACCTTTGTTAATTCCTATTATCTTGTTTTGAAATCCTGCATCATTTTTACTGTTTTTGTGTTGTTTTGTTTTTGTCTTTGTTGTTGTTATTTTGTTATTGTTTTTTTCTCTTTAAAATAAAAATAAAAAATTAAGAATGGATATCATAGAAATGCAAAGGATCATAGAAACTACAATAGACACCTTATAAACAAAAAACATGGAAAATTTTCCACAAGAAATGGATAAATTTTTATATATATAACCTACTAAAATTGAACCATGAAAACAGAAAAGTTACATAGGCCAATAACTACTGAAGAGTTTGAATGAGTAATGTAAATTTTCTTCACAAAACAAAACGTATCATATGGAGTGAATGAGTGTAGACTTTGAATTCATCCCATTAGCTTATTTACTATTTTGGATAAGTATTTTAAATGTTCTAATCCTTAGTTCCTCATTTATAAAATGAAGATATTAGTCAAGCTGCTTGGGGTTATTCTGAGTAATAGAAGCAATATTTTATAAGTGTTTTGTCCCACTAATGCCCTATAATAGTAAACAAGATAATTACTTTTCAAATTATTAAAATCATTAGCCTCTATCTTAAAAAAATTGTGTAGCTTTCTGCAAGTTAGCCCCTACGTTAGTGGATGGAGGATGATTCAATTGAGGGGGGAAATATATCAGAATATTTTCTCACAAAAGGTGAGAGAGAAAGTAGTGATGGACATGTAAGTGCCTGAATCATTGTTTGCCACTAGGTGTATTAAAAATAAGTTTAAAATATCTTTAAAGAAAATAAAAAGCCATTATAATCAGTTCTAAGTCTTACTGAATCACCTTCTTAGACAACAAACTACTCTGAACAGAAAAAGAGCTAAAAACAAAACAAGACAATA